AGCTTCTCAGTGCAGTACTTTAACCCGCTGCGCCACCAGGGAGGGCCGCACTCCATTTTCTCTTATAAATGTTTTTAATAGAAGTTTTAAAAAAGTCTGACACTTCCATTAGATGATTGACAGGTTCTCTCTTTTTTTTAAGATAGTACTGAAATTTACTGTCCCGGACTTTAAGAACTCTCTGGAATTTTTCACTTTGCTTGCTCAGAGAAGAGGAATGCACCAGAAAGGTGGAAGCCCACATGTAGAAGGTGCTGCTAAACTGCTGTGGTCAGAGTGGACAGGGTAAGGCTTCATTTATGTAGGCATTTTGGTCTACATTTATGCTCTTAAGCTGAATAGCATAAAGGTGGGTTTTTGACAAATAACTGTTTTCAATACCAGTGCCTCCTTAGGTTACCATTGCCATCCCCCTATATCCTGGAGTCTCTCTCCACATTTAAATGAGAATATTGTGACATACATGAAACATGGCTTTAATCTGGAACAACTGGAAAAGAACAATGCACACAGCATTCAAGGTAATAAAGCAAGGCTTGTGTATGGCTGCCATCTTCATTGGTTGACAGGTCGAAAGAAGTCTTATTTGTTTATGGTTCCTTTCTTAGCTATTAGAGGCCCTCGTTTAGCCAACAGCATCCTTTTCCAGTCTTCGGGTCTGACACACGGTATAATAGATGAACAGGATGTAACTGAAGAGTTGCCAAAACAGATAGAGAAAAAGGAGTGGGAGAACTCCAAAGATATTGATGACGACCTTGAAAGTATTGAGGCTGATGTAAGTAGCTGTTTGTTACTGAAGCTTATATTTTCTGGCATTATAATGGACAACAAATGGGAAGATGCCAAATTAAAAAAAATCTATAAAACTTCTTAAATTCATACATCCCATCATGTGCACATTCACTTTTCCACGGTATAATGAACAAACAAGCTAATAGAGCAGCTTCTTTATCCCACAGGCAAAGAGCTCAGACATTCCCCCTGCAGAAAATGCCTGGGAGGTATTGCCCAAGGAGTCTAAAGCAGGTGGGTGAGAATGTGGTGGTGGCCTTTTATAGCAAAGCAACATGGTACAGAATTGCTTTGACTTTTTTTTTTTTTTGTCACTTTTTAATATAGATGAGCAGCAGTCCATTCAATCTTTTGTCTTGGATAAAATGACTGAAGACAGTGATGACGCTTATGACTTCAGTACAGACTATGTATAAAAAGAAACTGGTTTTTCCATAAGGACTTATTTTGAGCAGACTACTAAGCTGTTGTGTGAGTGAGAGAGCGCACACAAGTGCTGTGTGCCACTCTGGAATGATAAGACACTGTAAATTATGTGAATATGTATCATGTTCATTAAAAAAAAATTGGATATTTTAGAAGTTTGAATTCTTACCTGAAAGCAGAAAATATGATACCTTTTGAAAATGTAGATTTTGCTTTATTTACAGGTAACAAAATTAAAACTTAGTGTAGTGATATACCAGTAGTATGAGTCCATTCACTTCTGGTCATTCAGCACTATAGTAAGCAAACATTTGGTAAGGCAGATGGAGACACATTTATAGTCTGTCTGGGAAGCTGATGGCCAGACAAGACAGTTTGTTCTCTTTCCCCAGCTGAAAATCTTCTGCGGGTTGCTGCATATAGGCACTGAAGCATAGCAGCAGGTACTTCCCACACATACTGTCTCTTCCAGGATTTCCTGAGAAATGCACATAGCATAAATTCTATTTTTTATTTGAGATCTCCATATGTCTTCGGATGAGGCTGAATTTGCCTGTTGGGTCTGGAATATACCATCTTTCCCAGACATCAGAGTAAGAAGCAGTTCTTCCCCATGGCTTAAAGTGTCCATTCCAGTGGAGTAACTTGGCTGCCTTAACAAACTGGGGTGAATATCGTTTTCCAACACTAGAACCTTACATTGAGAAAAAGAACCAAATGATTATAGGAATACCAACACAAAACAGTGCCACACAAACAGCAGGGAAAAGAAATCCCATCCTCATAGCTAGTGCTTTAGATACCTTAGGCCTCTGGCTAATGATTTCTACTCACCAAGGTGGCGGACATTCCACATGGGGTCAATGGTGGAGTGCTGTTGATAAAATACGATAAGTAGAGGAGGTGTTGTGATGCTGCCAGCCAGTGTCCGGCTATACAGTCCTTCTCTGACAGATAACAAATACAATGTTAGTGAAAAATTGTATTTAATGTTAAAGGGTTCTCACAGCTAGCCCAGTAACATACTTACTCTATATTGAGTTTCATCCATTTCTCCAATTGGTTAGTTATATTCTGTCTCTTCCATTCTGTCAAGTTTGCAACAAAAACTCCAGGATTAAAGGAACAGGTGCTGGCTTTCATGGAAAGCTTACGAATTCTCTCCTTTTTATAGTCGAGGTATCCGATGTAATTGTACTATGAACAAGTGAGATACTTGGCATGTTTACTGCTTCTAACAAGACATCGAATTTATTAGCTAGTAAAGAAAACCTGCTTATTAAGCTGTGATAGATTATTAATAAAGGGCTGTACATAATGCAAGTAAATGTGACAGCTGGGATTCCACATTCCAACCTAGAATAAACATTAAGCCAGATGTTCAAAGAAAATTCAGAGATTATATCCATGAACCAACCTAAAAGGAAGCAACCCTGGGGTTGGGGAGGAACTCACTGAGAAAAAGTACAGCAGGATTTTTTTAAGTTTCCTGATTTTGCAGTCTCTCCATTAATTTGCATTACAGGAGTAAAATACCTGCGCAAGGGGCCTAGTAAGTAATTTACCTGATTCCCTGCTCCACGGATGATAACTTTGGTAGAGGTTGAATCACAGTCTTCTGAAAACGCAGCTGCATGTCCTGGCTTCAGTGGTGTGTTATAAAGGGCAAGAATATCACCTGAAATAGATGAGTCACAAAAAATTGATAATTTGAATCCCTATTCCTCCCAATTCCTGGGTCAGACAGACTGCATTAATAGTAACATTCCTTGGTACCTTGCACAATAACATCATCATCCATATATATAGCCTTCTTTGCATTGGGAACCAGAATTGGCAAGTAGAACCTTGCAAAGGTTAACTGGAAAACAAAAAGATACACTGGCAAACAATATGTCAGTGGCTGTATTTTTGCTAGAAACCCCCAAAATGGAGAAGACAGCCAAAGGTCTCTTAAAACTTCCCAGGTTTGGTCTCCAGGGAACTACCTGTACTTTACCCACAGTTATCTGGGTATCTTAGTCATTTCCTAGTACTCCCAAGTACAAATAAGGATGCATGGAACTCACTGGTTTTATGGATTCCCCCTGGTCAGGATCCTCCTTTACTTTCCCTTCCAAAAGTTTAGTGTCAAAATTCACAATTTTGTACCTGATACTTTTCAGGGTAGCACTGTTGAGCCAGGACCTAATGAAAATAAAGCACTCAGCTTCAGTTTTAAATAACTATAACCTCAAATGACAGCCTTATCTTTGTCTTCCAATGAGGGAAAGTGTAAGAGAAACTATCAACCAAGTAAATGTCTTCAAGCCCCTTCACCTGAATCTGGTTTCCTATTTTGAAGTGAGAATATTCCCACCAAAAGTGCCCCCACCTAAACCAAAACCCTATGTAATGGATAATGCTCCCATTAGGGTTACACGATTGTTCTGACACTGAAACTGTTGTAGAAAAAGTTACTATGGAATTGAGACTATTTCAACACCACACTAACTATTCAAACTTTTTCCTCCCAAACACCTGGGTAAAGGAGTATGATAATATGAAAGCTAATTTTAACAAAGCTAGTAATCATTCTAATAGACTCAATTCACTGCGATGACTAAACTCCACCTGAGTCTTAAGATACTGCCCATTAAAAAATGTGTTCCCTAAAGAAGTACTGCAGTTTTCCTAGGCCCATTTCAAGTATTTTGTGGGTGTAGTGTTATTTCTGAAGATTTTTAATGTATTTATTTCCACATCAGGTGGTTCTTGGGTCTTTTTTTTTATGACTGATTTTTTATGCATACAGAACGGGGGTACTGGCCAGTGGTGCATAGGTGGTGAGAGGATTCACCAGAGACAGCGTGGGGAGCAGAGCAGACAGGCTGATAAAATACACTGCTGAAGGTAGTAGCGGATGAGACAGGAGAGAGCTGCTGTGCCATGTGTATCACCTTCAGGACGAGATTGAACTCACTGAAGCAGCTGTGACTAGCCTGTAGTGCTATGCTTTAATCCACTGTGCCAGCAGGGAGGGCCGGTTGCTGGGTTTTTAAATGTGGAAAACCAATTCATAATTTTTCTGAATTAAACTTGGATCATGGAGAAAAACCACAAAAATAGAAATGTTTGAGAATTTTGACAACTAAGCAGCTAGACAAGTTGTTTCTGGAATAATTTTTGTAAATCTTAATTCAAAAAGCTTTCAAGACATGAATGTGACTATTACTTGGGTTTCTAATATTAATCACAGTTATAAAAATAAAAGCTACTGAGTGATTATGCTATTTCAAAACATATTTTCTTATTTACCTGACAGAGCAATTCTCTAAATTAAATATTTTCACCCCTTATAGATGAGGAACAGGGTCCCAGGGGTTAGATGATATTCCACAATCACGATGGGTCAGGTTTTGGATTACTGTCTAAACAACTCACCTTTACTATCTTGCTATTAGCCCCAAGTACCTTTCCACTCTCATAGAAAACTACTCAGGATATGTCCATGTGATATAAAACCTACTGCTTCTTTCACTTAGAAAGTCTTACTGCTAAAAAAAAAAAAAAACTAAAAGCAGCTTGAGTCAACAGTGCATATGGATAGCTGATTTAAATCTTGGTAGTTCCTTACATTCCTTTTGCTATCATGGGGAGATGCTTATAATACAATCAACTGGGAAAACAACATGCATACAATTTACATGTATAATCTAATTATAAAGAAAAATATATACATATAGAAAATTGTGCTTGAGGAGCTCACCGAAGATGGTCTCCTGTACCGTTGAGTGTAACAATGTAGAAAATCACATTGGAGCGAGTATTGTGCTGAATGCTGTTTATAGCTGCAATGGCCCCCCCGAGCCTATCTTCAGATGCAGCAATGACCACAGGAATCTCTTCTTGTCTCTCATCTACCAAATGTCGGGGAGCATTTGGGAAAAAGGCTATGGGCTGAAGCCCCACTATTCCTGAATCTGAAAGGATCAAATACAAGAAAAATATTGTGGTACAATCTCATGAGCTTCTGATACAGAGGTATCTGAGGATTACGGTATTTACTTCATTCTCCCTCATTACAATAAGAAGGATACAGCACAGAAATTGTCTTTTCCCGGGTTTTGGAAAAACAAGACATCTAACCAGGTTTTTTGAAAATCAAAAGCATTTTAGAGGGAAAAAATGAGTATTCTGATACACTAATAATGGGAATGCACTAAAATTTTTCTAGCAATATGTTGGCAAGTTGTATCAAAGCCTTCAAACAAGTATATAGCCTTCAACCCACTAATGTTCTTTGCTCTCAAGGATAAGGTCTGAAAGGTAAACAAAAAATTCCCAATTTTACATACAATTGTAAAAACCTAGAAACAGTAAAAATGATTATTTTCAAACCATAAATCATGCCCCACAAGTAGGAATGAAAACAATTTAGTGAGTGGGTTGAGATCAGAATTTGAGTAGAAATACAGTACCCAAATTGAACAGGGAATTGGAAAATATAAAAGTACACCACCTGATTACAAGTATTGTTTTATAAACAATCCCTCTGTCTTTTATACTAATTCATTAACTCATTTATCATTCACTAAACACTGATTGCCTATGTGACAAGTAGTATCAACCATGAAATCTCTACCATCATGAAAGACAACAAGCAAACAATGTATGTAGGTGTGCTGTATATAGAACATTTCTTACTGTGGGACTGCCATAAAGCCTGGAAATTGCACAAAGACTTTTTCCTGTAAACAAGTTCACTATGTGGCATTAAAATTCACATTAGGAAGAGTTTCTACTTACATTTGACATGGTTGTAAAAACAACCATGTGGTGAAAAAGTAGTATAATATCCACTACATAGATAAACTATATATATATATATATATATATATAGAGAGAGAGAGAGAGAGAGAGAGAGAACCTAGAAGGTATTAGGTCAAAATTCTAATAGTTATCTGGACCATTAAATAATTTATTCAAAAACTATTTACTGAGTACTTCCTACATTCCAGCCATCAACCAGAGGCATGGGAGAAGAGTAAATGAGCAAACTGCTTTTATGCAGCTTGAATGCTGTTTTCCTCTTTATAAATGGAAAGACCCCTTTAAGGCCCATAATTTGGTGAAAAGGAGTATCAAAATCTTGGCAGACTGCACAGCCATTCGGGCAGGGAAACCTTTAGCAGAAGAGCCTGAAAGAATACACTGAGTACCACAATGCCTTTTGTAAGAAAAGAAAGTTCTTTTTTTAACCTAATTTGTAACTTGAGTAAGTTGATGTAGGCCATAAGGAACCTCTACAGATGCCAATGCATTAATAAGGACTTCCATACCTGAAACCTCATTCCTTAGCAAACTGCTCAGACCAAGGAAGTTATGGTGCAAAACGAGTAAGAAGAGAGCAACAGCCAGGACCAGGATGATAATGTTTACTGAAACACAGAAGGGAAAGCCCACATTATATCCCTTTACCTTTTAACCAGGTATAAAGACAATATAATTTGTAGAAAGAGCATACCTTTACGAAAAGACATTTTTCTCTTCTGTCTTATATGATTATTAGTTGTCAACTCTACAAGACAAAAACAAACCCCAGTCAGCAGATACATGAGGATCTCTATCAAAATACCTAAATAGGCCCTCCCTGGTGGCACAATGGGTTAAAGCACAGCTCTATGAAGCTATCCACTGCAGCATGAGTTCAATACCAGGCCAGGGAGGTATATGTCATGACAGACCTCTCCTAACCTGCCCTCTGCTCCCCTCAGCAGTATATTCAGTAGATCTACCTCCCCACTCTTGTCTCTGGTGAATCTTCTCACCCTCCACATCTCTGGCCTGTACCCCAGTTCTCGTACACATAAATAAATAAATCTTTAAAAATATATATGCCAGCCCTCCCTGGTGGCACAGCAGGTTAAAACCAGCACTAAGAAGCTAACGCCATTCAATCCCTGCTGGCCCTGGAGGTGACCCACATGGCTCAGCAGACCTCTCCTGACCCGCCCGCTGCTCCCCTCAGCTCCCCACTCTGTCTCTGGTGAATCCCCTCACCGCCCCTGCACCTCTGGCCTGTACCCTAGTTCTGTATGCATAAATAAATAAATCTTTAAAAAAATATATGCCTAAATACCTCTATCCAGGTAGAGACAAGATGAGCATGCAACATTTTCTGCCAGAAACTACCAAATTAATAGTTTCCTAGAACTAGTTTGGGTTCTGAATTTTTTTGTAGTCACAATAATGAAATACTTCCAAATAACCTAGAGAAACACATAGCTTTATACATTATATGCCATTAAATAAAAGGCAAATGTCCTACCAAAAAGTAATACATCTGGTAACCACTAGGGAAAGATTCCATATGAATTTTTAATTCAAAAACCAGTTTAGACATGATCTCAGTTGTTAATGATCAAGTAACCTGAGGTTAGGCTTATCAGTACAAAACTTTTCTGTTCTGAACTGTAGCCCATTTACCTTTTATAGAAGAACTGAGAATATTGTCCAAATTCACTTAAAATTACAGCACAGAAAGATAATTACAAAAGTCTACAATCCCACTTGTTATCAAAAATTTAGAACGCTATTCTCAAAAATCCTGTTGGTTATCTCTCCATCTCTTAAGAAAGTGATGTCTGCTGCTGACACTGCCTGCACACCGTGCTCCCCAGCTTATTGACTGCCTTCACTTTTTCAAAACAAAAAAATGAATGGAAACACTTTGTGGGTGAATTAAACTAAATAATTAGATTTCTACAACAATCTCTGGTAACGTTTCCTTAAAAACATTTTCTGCAATCAGTATATTGTAAGCACTCACTGAAGGTTTTTACCTTTTTCAACTTTACCATCCCCCATGAGAATAACTGCACATGTACATAAGACTATTAATTTTACAGATATAACATATTTCTAAAGCCAAAGTAAGTTTAAGTTAATTTCATATTAAGTGTTGATTTCTCAAGGTCTTTAAAATGAGAACTATGTAGAAGGGCTGTTTTAAAAACTGGGGAATTACAAGCCAGACTGCAAATTGGGGAGAAAATAATTCATCTTGCAAAGAAAAATCTAATACTAAAATACTGATTTCCTGCTCTCTCATTTCTTTCTAGAGCAATATATACATATATTCTTCCAACCTGAAGAATATATTTTATTCCCTGAACCTTATGCCTCGATCACATTGTAGGTTAAGTGTAACCTACACAGGCTGAAGTTGGGGTGCTGCTCAGACAAATCTTTAACATCTTCCTGACGGAGCCAACACCCATCAAGACTAGAGAAAACTTACCTCATTCCATCTCAGATAGCTAATAGAAGTTGAATTGTTACTTCAACTTCCAGTAACAGTTACTTATAAGTAGCATGTGGATCAAAAGGCTTACATGTTTGTGCTATTCCAGTTACCTAAACACAAGAAAAACAATCCTAGCAGGTATTTGACGTACCTGGGATGTGTAACAGCAGTTATATTTTTGAAAAAGTATACAACTGTGTAAAATGTGATCAACAATATTCATGAAAATTAGTATTTTAATAGGGGGTCAACTGTATGTGAAGGATAATTAGAACTTTAGTGGTGAATTTAGTGTAATACATACACATGGTGATCTTTAATAGTGCACAACTGAAATTTATATATTACAATGCAAGGTTATTTCAATGTTAAAAAAAAAATTAATGTTTTCATTTAGAAATTACTAGAATTATTCACATTCCCAAATCACAACATAGGTATACTCAAAAAGAAGTATGGGTAAAGAAGTCTTAGAGAAAAAGAAGACTTTAAAAACTTGTTAGCTACTTGCAATTGTACCCACATTCTCAATAGCTGTACTCACCTTTTCTGTTTTCCCTCCTTACATGTACCTCCATGAAAGAATATTTCACTGATGCTCTGTCACCCTAAAATTCTCTTTGGTGCAACATCAGTAAACTTTCCCTATGTGCTTGATCACCCCCATCAACATATTATGATACTCTGGCATCTCTCAGTTAATTAAAAAAAAGACACTATTCCCCTCTATACCTGGAGTTGCCCCACAGACCCATTTCTCTGTTGCCCCTTACACTAAAACCCTAAAAGGAACTAAAAGGAAAAATTAAATAAATAAATAAAAACTTGAAAGGTTTTAAGGTTTTCAACTACACTGATCCTCTTGTTCTCTTTAATCTCCTCCAACTAGACTTCTGTCCCTACTGTTCCTGGTCTTGTTGATGTCATCAAGCATCAAGGTCATCTTTCTGTCTCCTTACCAGTCCTCTGAGAGGCCATCAGGAAAATGTACCACTTCTCCTTGATTACAAAATTATTTGTTTTTTTAACTTGTCATCCCTGACGAGAATATCAGCTTTAATGTTCCTATGTGAAGCCATCTGAGACTCTATTGTTTATGGATGTATCCTCACCACCTAAAATGTCTGGTAAATAGCAAACCTGTTACATTTGTTAGATGATCTGGTTTAAGAACAATGCTAGTTCCTACTCAGAAAGGGAACACAGTCTTTGCTGGTAATCAGGAAAAATAATCCCAACATAAGATGCAGATTCCAAAAGAGATGGTTCTCAAACAGACCCTAACAGCCTTTCTCCATCGTATCTTTATACCTAAAATACTACACAATCTCTACAGCAACCGCCACCTGTGAAGTGCATCTAAACACGGACAAGACAGAGGCATACCTACTTCTACATACGACAAAAAGTCTGGCCTCACAGGGGTGATTTGGTGATGGGAAACCCGTGGGGATTACAACTGAGATGAAAAAAAAAATGTGCAAAATGATGTAAAAATAAACTTTAAAAAAAAAAAAAAAAAAAGTCTGGCCTCTGACAGGCAGAAAGGTGGAGAGGCGCTTAGGACATGCATCCACTTTTCCAACCTCTTCATCTGGTAGCTGCTCTGGAATTAAGGGAGCTTCCCTTCACCCCCACATCCAACTGCACCTCCCCTGAGTTCTCACATGTCTCAGGCCTCCCTAGAGTTAATCCAGCTGTCATTACAGGTCTAGGTCAGATGGTGGTAGGCACATTTAAGCAAGGGCCAAGGGTTGGTTACAGTCGTACACTCGACCCAAACAAAAAAAGGTGCTGTAAACTTTGGTGGCTACGTGAACAAGGAGCAGCGGCCACACACCACTCTGCCCTGCAATCCACCCTCGGTGACCCTGACGAGGCAACGGGGCACACAAGTCCGGAGCCAGCTGGGACCCGCAGGCCTGGGGTGCTCAGAACGGCTTCCTCCGAAACGCCGGCGCCCGACCAGGCTCGAGCCGCCGAGTCTGCTCTCTAACCGAAGGGCCCAGCCTAGGTCTGTGAGGGAGCCAGAGACGTTGGCGAGCACGCTGAGGGGCGAGTGGCAGACTCCCGCGGTGGGAGCGCGCTCCACCTCGGCGAGGGGCGGTCGAACACCGTGGCAGCTCTCCGAGAGGATTCCCTTTCTCTCGCGGATAGGCCCTGGGGCGTCCCTTTTAAATTCTAAGAGGTGGCGTGACGCTCCGCGCGGGCTGCCCCCGAGCCCAGAGAGACCCTGAGACAGGATTCCGGCGCCCGCCGAAGCCCTTACCTGCAGCCGGAGCAGAAGGAGGAGCCGTCGCCGCCCGAGCCGCGGCCCGCCCCGCCAGCTCAGCGCCTGCGCCGCAGGCCCCGGGCCCGGCCTGCCACGGAGTCGCCGCGACTCCTGCACTCAGGACCAGCCCCGCTTGCCCGCTAGCTCAGAGCCGACTCGTGGTCCCACAACCCCCGCCGCTTTGCCCCCACAGCCTTCCCGCCACTCGGACCACGAGCGTGTCGCGCCGAGCAGGCGCCGCAGGGCAGCCCCAGTGCCGGGGGCCTCAGGAAGAAAAGCCCGTCGTCATGGAGACGTGGAGCACAACGACCGCATTGAGGCCGCCGCGGCCCAGTTCAACACAGATTGGGGGACCCGGGCCGCAGCTCCCGGCACCCTGCAGCACCGACGGCGAACCCTTCAAGGGCGCGCGATGCCTCGGCTCGGCCGCCACCGTTGCCACGTCAGCCCTCGCGGGCGGCGCGCCGGGGAACAGCCAGATCCGAAAGTACAGGTCGCCTAGGGATGGCGCGGGGCGGGTCCTGGAGCCGACTGGGCCGACCCCAAACATCCGCTTCCGGGGCCGCGGCCATAGCACTTACAGAGTCTGCGGACCCGCCTGGCTGTACGCAGGACCGGACCCCGGAGCCCACGGTCCCTGAGTTGCTACCGCCTTCGCCCGACTGCGCGCCGCCTGCATCCGGCCGGCCGCCTCCTCAGCCAGTCATGCTGGAGCATCTGAGCTCGCTGCCCACGCAGATGGTAAGGGCTCTGCCTCGAGATTGCCGCGCGCTACTTACTAGCTTCGTATCTTCTCGGCCCTTGTCGGAACACCGACCGGGGCGGCGCGGCCCCTGACCCGGCTGTTACCTTACACTCTAACCTGAATTGCCCCTCCTTGGGTCCCCTTTTCCTGGCCCCCGCGAGAATCCATCCCTGAGCCCATGCTGCGTTCGGGTGCTTCAGACCCAGAAACCCAGAATAGCATTCCTTAAACTGATCTTTAGGGGAGGCCCTGGTATTGGGGTTGCCCCATGATCGCCGAGGCCAGAACCGGGATTGTACTCATCGGGTGGTGGGGCCAACTCCTGCGTTGTTCTCCTTCACCTCTAGGATTACAAGGGCCAAAAGCTAGCGGAACAGATGTTTCAGGGAATTATTCTTTTTTCTGCAGTAAGTATTGGTTTTGTACAATCTCTTCTCCCTTACCTCTACCCTTTCTCCCCCAACTTGACTATACTTAATATACTTTGTCTCTAGATAGTTGGATTTATCTACGGGTACGTGGCTGAGCAGTTCGGGTGGACTGTCTATATAGTTATGGCCGGATTTGCTTTTTCGTGTTTGGTAAGAAGTTTGTGTTTGAATGTTTAGTGGCAACTTTTCGCCTCTGTGTTGGTTTGGTTGGAGCTGGTAGTGAGGCCGGGCCAGCTCCAACTTTTACTTCATCCTGTTCCATCATTGTTTCCCCCTCCTTTCATTGGAAACCTACAATGCCAAATAGCATCAGATTACAACCGTATAGCAGTTAGAGCATTTCTTTTGGCAGCTACTCCAAGTAATAATCTTAAGACCAAAGCAAGTAGAAATACCTTGTGATTTTTACATTGCTCCCTCCTAACCGCACCTTCAGTACTTACTCTGTTCCCTAAGTGTGAACAGAGAGGCTTGTTCCTCCCATTTAGAGTGTTTTGTCTGGGCCACTGCACTGAGTTTTTACAGGATTTTTTTTTTTTCCCCTTTAGCATAGGAATAATTTGGGAACCAAGCATTATACATTATGGTCTTGTAAATCCTGTGTAGCTGTAACTGATGCACTTTCTCCATTCTGACCCAGCTGACACTTCCTCCATGGCCAATTTATCGCCGACACCCACTCAAGTGGCTACCTGTTCAAGACTCAGGCACAGAAGACAAGAAGTCAGGGGAAAGAAAAGTTAAGCGGCATGCTAAAAATAATTGATTGGGGTTTTCATGATTGTTTTACTGTTACATCTACTTTTGTTTCATTTGAGATAAATTGTCTTCATACCCAAAACATGAGCTGAAAACCACCAATGCTTTTATGACACAGCTGTGTATAGATTTTGTTCTCTTTGTATTTCACTTTTAACACAGTTGGGTTTTGATTTGTAAGTATTTCAGACCTTCTCTTCATAATTTTTCTCTGCCTTTGAGAACAGAAAACACAAGTATGCAAAACTACTTACAGGTCTACAAAAATAAAAAATGCCTCATGATTTATTGTGACTATCAAAGTTTTTAAATTCATTTAATAGTTAACCTATTTTAATGTTTTTAATTAAACTCAGTAAAAGTCTGTATCTAAAGAGTTTTTTTGTTCAAGACTAATAGTGAAAGTTAAATTTAGAAGCTTGTAGTTTTAAAAATGTCAGTAAGCACTATTTCGCTTTTCTGTAACTACCAATCTCCAATATATATGTCTTCCTTAATTAGACCAAGATAAAAACTTGTAAAGCTATAAATTCATTTTAAATTTTCCAGAGGGCCGAAGAGAAAGGTTCCAATGGTCTTGTAATAGCTATGGGAGTGGGAGGAACTAAGTTACTAATTTAATTAATACTCTATTTCTCTATACCAGGATTCAAACTTCCAAACTATGAGTTTAAAAAAAGGAACAAATAATATAGCAAAAGTCAGAAAAAGAAAAAATTAAGAAGGTAGAAATGATTAAGCATAGCAGTTAAGTATAATAAATGTGATTTAAAAATTAAGACCTTGAAAATAGGGTAAAAAGCAAGTTATTTCATCTATTGAAAATGATGAGTGGGATGAATGAATTGGCAGCCAAACAGAGCAGTGGATGAAATGTTTTCTAGGTGCCATAGTTGGAGGGAGTGGTCTTGATACCTGAATAATGTTAAATACAGCAGTATTAAAATAAATAAAGTCTCAGAAACTATGAGCATAGTTAAAGACAGGGCAGGGAGTACTGTTTTACTTATCACTATATATCAGTATTTGTATATATCCCCAATTCTTGCCATAGCACCTGGCACAAAGTAAAAAGTAAATAAAAGTGTCAAATGACTAGAAAGGATAGAACATTTCATTAGTGTTTCATGTGTACGTATAATTCTCAAAGAATAGAAGATACATTTTTAATTATATAGATATATATATACCAGAGCAGTATTTATTTTTAAGAGTCCCTTGAATTATACAAGTAAAAATTTACTAATCAAGACTTCTATTTTGTAAAAACTTTATTTCCTAGATGGGCAGTACTCCCAATTAAACAACTGATAAAATGAGATAGATACTTTAATACATTAAAAATGGGGAGACAACCAATATCTTGGTGTACAAGATGACAAACCTTAAGTGTCACATATGTCCAACATAACTTAACGGATCTGGACTTGACTTAGATGTTAATTGGAAAAGGAATTCATATTTAAGAAATGTTTTCATATGGAAATTCTAAATTTTTTTTAGTGTATGTAAAAACACTACTTACAAAGCCAAAATAACAAAATGTTCTAATTCTTGTATACCCTAATTTAGGTTCATATTAAATGAAAACAGAACATTAAATATCCATCAATATGTAGAAAAGGAATTCAACTGCTTAAGTACTATATACTTCATACTAGATACTCTAGTACTAGATACTAGATATTCTTTAAATCTTGAATCATGAATTGACTTTTTAAGAAAATAATTTACCAACTACTATTTAAAGTTATTAACAACAAGCAGTATCACTGACATTACATCATTTATTTCTCCTATTGCTTTTATCACTGTATTACAATATAAAATATACAATTTCTTATGGTCTTGTATTTAGCTAATTCAAGCTTATTAGTATATTAAAAAAATAAAGTTCTAGATATTGGTAGTTAAGGCTCAGTAGACAATAATCAAACACATTTTTCATTATAAAAGAATAAGATAGCCAAAATTTTTCTTTTCCTTTTGTGAGCTTGCTTAAGTTAAAAAAAAAAAAAAGATACAAGGATGGTGAATGCCATGGACTTGCTTTTCTTTAAGCAAAAGTCCTTTAAAAATAGCTCTTCAATTCTGGCAGCAGATTAGAATCAATTCTCAAAAATTCACATTTTCTTCAAAAAATTTCAGCTGGCGAGCTTTCACACTATAAATTGTATACTTTTCACCCATGTGCTCCTGTAAACGTACCTATTTATGGGCAAAAAAGAAAATCAGAATGTAATGGGATAACTCTGCAATCTTGGATGGGGATAAATCATTACCTTGATTAGGCAAGAGGTTCTTAGATATACTAAAGCACAAGTGACAGAAAACAAAATAGATAAAGTTCAACAAAATGAAAACCTTTTGTGCCACAAACAATGCCATCTGAAAGTAAATCACCACAGAATAGGAAAAAAAATTTGCAGTTACATATCTGATAAATAGAACATACCTGTATCAAGAATATATAATTCTTACCACTCAGCAATACAAAGCTAATAATTTTGAAAATTCTAAAAGATCAAAACAGACATGTTTTCATAAAGATGTACATAAAGCCAGCAGGCGTTATCATTGCCCATTAGGAAAAAGTAAATGAAAGTCATAATGAAGTTCCACTTCCTACTTACTAGGAAGGTTAAGATCAAAATGATGACAATAGCATTTATCAGCAAGGATGTGGAAAAATTACTGGTAGGAATGTCAAATGGTATACCTGTTTTGGAAAAGAGTCTGGTTAAACATAGGCTTTCCATATGATTCAGCAATTTTTACTCCTAGGTGCATACCCAAGAAAAATGAAAACATGTCCACAAACATCCATAGCAGCATTATTCTTAATAACCAAAAAGTAGAAACAAACTTAACATTCATTAGCTAATGATGTTTATCTAAACAAAATGTGGAATAGTCATACAGTGGGAATAATATTTGGCCTATAAAGGAATGATGTGACATGCTATAACATGGATGAGTCTTGAAACATTATGGTAAGTGAAAAAAGCCAGTCACATAGGATCATATATTTTACATGATCCTATTTAAATGAAATGTTTAGAATAGGCAAAACTATAAAGACATAACTATTGTGGGCAAGGCAACCTTGGAGATGATAGGAAATGACTGTCAAGGGTTTCCTAACTGAAAGTTCTAACAGTGATTGTAGTGATGGTTTACACAATGCTGTGAACATACTAAAAAACATTGAATTTACACTTTAAAAGGGTAAATTTTACGTTATATGAATTGTATTTCAAAAGCCTGTTTAAAAATATTCTAAAGCACAAATGGCTTACACAGATAATGGGACACTCACCTCTCTCTCCAATTCATCCTCCTCTTCCAAAAGCTCATACACCTGTTCTAAAAGCTGAATCCCCAGGCCCTGGATTACATCAGCTCTCAAGACTTCAACTATCCTTCTGATCTTTTCAGAACCTGGCATTATAGCTAAAAAACAATAACAAAGACAGAGGAAATAAACTTCTGGTTTAATGATTTTTTTTTTAAAGATTTATTTATTTACTCATACAGAACTGGGATACAAGCCAGAGATGCGGTGGGTGAGAGGATTCACCAGAGACAGAGCGGGGAGCAGAACAGGCAGATCGATGAAGCACACTGCTGAGGGGAGCAGCAGGCAGGTCAGGAAAGGTCTGCCTGGACAGGTGGATTTCCTCCAGGGCAGGCGGGGATCGAACCCATGCAGAAGTGGCTTAAGCTTCTTAGTGCAGTGCTTTAACCTGCTGCGCCACCAGGGAGGGCCCTGATTTTGTATTTTTAATGACTAATGCATATATATGAACTTAGCATTCAGGTTTCCTAAACCTGTCTACTTAGTAGAAAATCTAGATGAAAAATTCTAAGCGTGTATTTATTTGCATTTGTTTTTTTAAAAAAATCAACATTCTTGTAACTTTTCAGACATTCATGTAAGATAAACCTTTTATAAAGATGATCAAACAAAATAATAAAATATTCCAGGGCCTTCCCTGCCACAGTGGGTTAAAACGCAACACTGTGAAGTTGGCCTTGGCAGCTTTGGTGCGAGTTTAATCCCCTCCCTGGAGGTGATCTACATGGCGCAGCAGACCTCTTCTGTCTTGCTCACTAGCTCCCCTCAGCAGTGTACTTCATCAATCTGCCTGTATTGTTCCCCACTCTGTCTCTGGCGAATCCTCTCACCACCCTGCACCTTTGGCCTGAACCTCAGTTCTGTATGCATAAAGAAATAAATATATCCTTAAAATACAAAATAAAACATGCCCAAAAATTGCAAGCATCAGTTACCTAGTTAGATGCATTTTTCCAAGAAGTATATACCTCAGTTTTCTGAAAAGAATAAACTGATACCTGAAGGTAGCTCTTTAAAATGTAGTCCCTCTGTTTCTTCTGTGACCTTTCCATGAAGTATGAGCGTGTCCCGATACTTCCGATGAAGTTTAAATTCTGACATTGGATCTGGTACTAGAAGATCTTCACAGCTTTCTTTAGAGTCCAATTTTAGGGTCTGAGTCATCATTTGTACCAAATCACTCATTTCATTTGTATGACTTTTCCTAGAAGAAAAAAATCCCTTTGTTATTTAACTTGTTTCATGAGAATCCTTCATTAAAAAATTAAACACAAAATAACCTGAAGGAATTTTTCTTCCAAATAACCCAGTAAGTTTCTACAGATGGACCCTTCTACAAGTAACAAGTAGAAACTCTAGACAAGAGACAAAGTACTTTGAATATATTGGGGAATGTACAAAATCTGCAGGCAGGCTCTGGAGAGGAGCCAACACCTTTCAACCTTAAGGTAGGTCAAAGGCAATCAAAGTACAACAGAATACCCATAGTCTTTCTGGCCTACAGAACCAAAGGACAGAATCTGAGATAAACCACTGCCATGAGAAAGTAAGAGAGGAATCTTGGAAAGGCGAGTCAAAAACAGGAAGCCCCAGATTCTGTGTATAACATCGGTTGAACTATTTTTAACAAATTTAACTAACTTTGAATATAATGCTCAAAAATAGGGAAATCAAAGTACCAGCCCCCCAAAAGATAAAATTATATCTGACATCCTGTTAAACACAGCAGACAAGCAAAGAAGTAGGAAAACAGTACACATTTGTGCAGAGAAAATATTTAATAGAAAAAGACCCAGAAGTAATACAGAGATAGAATAAGTAGAAAAGGAATTTAAAGCAATTAGAAATATAATCTAGATGTCTAAACTAGAGGAAAGTATTTACATACTGAGCAGCATGAAAGATAATATAAAATTGAACCAAAAGAGGGGCCTCCCTGGTGGCACAAAAGGTTAAAGCACAGCGCTATGAAGCTAGGTGCAGCCACTTCATCACAAGTTCGATCCCTGGCCTACGAGGTGACCCACACGGGGCAGCAGACCTCTCCTGTCTCACCCACTGCTCCCCTCAGCAGTGTACCTCATCAGTCTGCCTGTTCTGCTGCCCCTCTCTGTCTCTGGTGAATCCTCTCACTGCTTCTTGCTCCTATGGCCTGTACCCCAGTTCTGTATACAGAAATAAATAAATCTTAAAAAAAAAAAAAAAATGGGCCCTCCTTGGTGGCGCAGCGGGTTAAAGCACTGCACTAAGAAGCTTAAGCCAATTCTACATGAGTTCGATCCCCACCTGCCCCGGAGGTGACCACATGGCGTGGCAGACCTCTCCTGACCCGCCTGCTGCTTCCCTCAGCAGTGTACTTTGTCAATCTGCCTGTTCTGCTCCCCACTCTGTTCCTGGTGAAGCCTCTCACCCTCCGCATCTCTGGCCTGTACCCCAGTTCTGTATGAATAAATGAATAAATATTTAAAAAAAAAAAAAAAATGAACCAGAAGAGTACAATGTGTTGTATACATGAAATGGGATTAATAGATTAGATATGTAGGAGAAAATATCCATGAACTCAAAAATTGAGCCACAGAATCTAAGAAAACTGAAACAGGGGAAAAAATCTGAACAAAAAAATGAATACCATCAGTGAGTTCTGGGAAACTAAGCAATCTAATTCATGTGTATTTAAAATTTTCAAGAGGGCAGGAGGATACAGGAGAGTTGAATAATGGCCAAATGTTTTCCAAGTCTGAAGAAAACAATAAATCCACAAATCTAAGTAAGAATTTTGAAAGAAAATCAGATGTGTTCATAAGGAGATATTGAACATTATCAATAATAGTACAGGTACAATAGTACAGGTTTGAATACTACTATAAATATATATTTAGGATTAATTCAAGCAAATAGTTTATCAAGAGAGAAAGAGAAACAAGAACTTACCCTTCTCTGGAATCCCCATCTGATTTATCAGTTGAACTTGTAGAAGAACTTAACTCATCCTCAGAAACACAATGGGTGAGTTTCTGTTCCTAATAACATTGGGAGAAACAAAATTCAACACGATCACATAACCAAAAGTAATACACAAAATAATCTTAGATACAGTGTACAAATGTGCATCTAAGTTAAACTGAGTGGGAGAAACTAACAAAGTTGAAGTTATTTTACCCAAACGATGACCCACAAGAAAAGCTAAGGAACATCAAAGTTTTTTTACAAGGTACTAGGCAGTGTTAACTATGAAAATTTTCCCTTCTAGAGGAGAGTGGATGAACAGTTCCAGTGTTGCGACTCCTACGGAGTTGTAATCTGAAAACAATGCCACTTAAATAAGCGCTACCCAGATTACTCATGTGAGATTGCTAAAATGCTTTAGAGGGTTACTTGATATAATTATATACAAATCTTACAAATTTGGAAAATGGAAAGGACAGTCTAAATAGTGAAACAGAGCATAGACTAGACTACATTAAAGACAGATCTTCGTTATATTAAAGAGCATGAAGTTTCTATTTTAATACCATGTCCCTAGAAATAATGTCAGAAGTTAAAATGTAGAAAAATGGATTACCCCTAGGGTATTTTATTATATAGAAAATGTAAATAGGTTGAAAATCTTGCAATTACTCCTTTAGCCACCAGATAGTAACCTTATATCATCCATCGGAATGTGGTGAAGACCCACAACTAAAGAATAATCAGCAAGTAACACTACCATCTTACCAGGTGAGTAGTTATATTGGTTATATATCAGAATAAGCAAATTGTTGCCTAGTGGAAGGTCTCTGGAGGTCAAGTTTTAAAGTCTACTAAGAAAGATATTTACCTAGGTTGTAAGAGTGCCTGAAAGATTAATTCACTTAATAGAGCAAACATAGTAATCCTTTTAATTAACTGACCCATTACTTTCCTTATCAAAATGAAAAGTTATACCTTAAGCCAGCAATGCTGCAGAAATAAAAGAACTAACTAGTATTTATGAGCTTTACTTTATATTACGCTTGCTAGACATAGATGTGATCACCTTTCCCCTTAAGACTATGTAATGTACCTGAGCAACAGTGCAGTCAGAAGACAACCATCCAGTTGGATTGGGCTGGCCTTCCTCGTGTGATTTCTCTGGCCCCACTGTACTCAGAGAAGCTCTCCTCACTGAAGGGCCTGAAAAGGTGACCAGCACAGCAGTTGTTTGTAATGGGTTGTCCTCAACTGAAGAGAGTTTTGCACTAGGTATGCAAGACACCCCACCAAGGGCCAGCCTAGAAGTCACTCAGACAGCATATTCATCATCACTCTGGCATCTGACACCTCAGTACAAATCTCTGCTCTAGGTCTAGCAGGTCTGTGACTTCAGGCAAATTACTTAACCCCTCTGAGCCTTAGTTTTCTCCCTGAAAAATGGGAATAATACCTACCTTTGGCAATAACTGTAAATATGAGATAATGCCCTTAAAATGCTTATGCTAATCATAGAATTCAATACATAGAAATTGCTAGTATTGGAATGATCATAGCCCTTATCCCAGGGTAGCACTGTTTTGGTTTTCTCTCTCTGTTCTTCAACCAGCGAGCTCTGAATATGGAAACAAACACTCACTCCTGTCTAAAATCTTCCAGGAATTACTGTCAAAACCCTCTTGCTCTGTTTTTAATATCCTCTCCCTCTGACAATACAAGTTCTAGATCCAACAGTCAGTGATGATTTTTTAAAAGGCTTGAATAAGAAACTTCAAAACTTCTTTCATGTCAGTCCCCCAAATGATTTACTAATGGTTGAAAATTCTTAATACCTCAGAGTCAGAATCAATACTATGTCCATGAGCCGTACCAATAACCACCAATAAAAAAAGGAAGGTAACAACCTTACCTGAGGGGAACATTTCTTCCTGTGACTGCTTTAGTCTCCTCCTTTCTCTCGCTGATAATGGCCGATCCTTTTAAAGAAAGTGAGAGTCAGGGCCTCCCTGGTAGCACAGGGTTAAGTCTCAGCCCTAATACCACTATGGCCTAAGTCTGATCCCTGGCCAGGGAAATAACCCACATGGTGCAGCAGATCTTTCCTGTCTCACCTGCTGCTCCCTCCTCAGCAGTGTTATTTGTAAATCCACCTGTTCTGCTCCCCACTCTGTCCCTGGTGAATCCTCTCGTACCACCCACTCACCCCTCAAACCTCTGGCTTACACCTCAGTTCTTTTGTGCAAAAAAAAAATAATAATAATAATAATAATCAGAGTCACTTCTTTTCCTACTTCCTATTCTTAAGACACCTAAAATGCATGATGTATCATCTGGCACTACAGGAAAAGACTACATAAGCCTTTAAAGGAATGTGCATTTGAAACCAGTCCATAGCAGAAATATAGCTGCCAGCTAGTAATGATAACAGCCTTCATTTCTGGGAAATGGGCAACTCTGCATTTCCCCTGCATTCAGAATCTAGTTGTTCTCAATTGGAATTGACCATCCCTGGAACTATAGAATCTGTCCATCTGTTCTTTCCTTCTGGTTAAGATATTGTTAACTTAAATCTTCACTATATATGCAGGTTTTTATAACCAAAAAACTTAAGAAGGTTTTTAAAAGTCCAAAATATACCCTCACAAACCTTTGATGATATCTCACTGTTCCTTGAACTGCTCACAGATGCAGTAACCACAGCACTTCGGTTTTCAGCATCCTTTTGTTTTGAATCTACTTTTCCAATAACAGGAGGAAAAGGCAAAAGTCGAGAAGCCTGTTGGAATTTAAATAATTAAAAAAGAGGAGATTATAGTTTCATATACAGTCAACTCCAAAGTTCCCCACTGGTAAATCTCCTGTGGAATATGCCAGTAATTAGCTTTCAAAACTTGAAAATACTGCATTTTGGGGGGGAAAGAATTATGCCAAAAGTGAAATGCTATCTAAAAAGCTAATCAAGAAGGTGTCTAAAAAGAAATGAGTCAGCATGAGTTTATATGAGGGAGAAATTGTTCATCCGTATAACACAGGAGAAATCTGAGATTTGTATCATTAGCCTGTTTCTTTAACTCAAAATGACCAGTCCATCTTTGCTAGATAAACAGTAAGATAAAGTCCTTACTCTGCTTCTATCTCACTGGCATTTGAAAATTACAAGTTAGCATCTTGCTGCTACCACCCTTCTCCATATATTCTTTGCATTTCTTATGTGCCTTCTTGCCAACTGCTAATCAATTTAAACAGAGACTACCTAAAATCTGCTTCCCAAATAGCAGCATGACTTCTTCCAGAAATTTCTGCTGACCTGTCTCTTTTCCCCATTGTGCTCAGTCTGTTCTCTTTTCTTCTGCCGTCGCTGTCGAGACAGGGAAGGCTCTGATCCAGAGTTATGTGGCTGTGAACCTGGATAAATGCTGTTCTGTTTTTCTACAATATATTTACCAGCATCTCGAGCCTTAAAAATAATAAAATGAGACAAACAGCAGTAAAAACAGAATAATGAAATAGTTCTTTTAACTCCCCAAATAGCCAAACACTCTATATCTACTTTTATATTTATGATGAGAATCAGGGAATCATCTTTCTCAAAATAAATGCTTATTTGCAGTGTTGACAGGCAAAGACAAATGCTGATAGTCTGGCTTCTCTTCTCTTTTCCCAAATAAAAATAATTATTTACACAAAATTGCTCAACTAGTTGTTAACCTGAAATTAGTGGTGTTCAATTTAATTTTTACATTTCTTTCATAATACTCCATAGATTTTTCTATTCAGAAAACTAAGAAGCATTCAAATAATCCAAGTTAATATATACATACTTCCATGTAAACATCAGTTATTTGGATGTATTAAAAAGCACAATAAAAAAAAAGAACACAATCAAAAGAACATTGAGTTTGGAGTTAGGTGAAGTTATATCTGAGAAACTTCTGAACTTCAGTTTCTTCTTATCTATAAATCAGTATAAATTCTTACACTGTATAACTGAGGATTTGAGGAGATGGTGCATTAACATACTTAGGACAATATTTAGCACATATTAGATGTTCAAAAGTGGGAATTACCACTAGCAGCAATAATGATAAAATGAATTACCTTTTAAGTTATAAAGATCACCAAGGTATTAGTATTTTACATGGGTAGTTGTTTTTAGAAGCTAATGTATGCCAAAAATTAAAATAAAATATATTCTTGCATTTACTTTTAAGAAATTTTTAAGTATTATCTGTTTTCAGGTAGATGGACATTGCTAATTAAATATCATTAAATCGAATTTTTATCAAGAATCCACTCTATGGTATGTTTTTAGAAAAAAACACTTTAAGATATTAATAAAAGATAAAATTGTTTTATAAGGCTGTCATTAAGACATTATCATTTATTACTTAGTGCCTCTGGAAAATGCAAATAATGACTCTTACAGGTAAAATAACCTGAAAATTTATTCTTTCAAGATTATTTGCACACAAAAGGGTGAATTTGGACCTATTCATGCCATATACAAAAACTTAACTCCAAATACATTACAGACCTAAACATAAAAGCTGTAACAATAGTCTTAGAAGAAACTAAATTTTCATGACACCAAAAACACAAGACATAAAAGAACAAAGTCAAATGTGACTTGATCAAAATTAAAAATGTTTTTAAGATTTTTTAAAATCTTATATCTGATAATACACTAACATCTAAAATAAAGAACTGCAATTCAGCAAAAAGAAATAAGACAATTTTAAAATGGCAAAGGATCTGATAGATATTTCGCTAAAGGTCCACAAATGGCCAAGAAGATGTTCAAAATCATCAATTATTAGGGATATTTAAATCACAGCAACATTTCATACCACTAGGATAGCCAGAATAAACACACACACACACACACAAAGCAAAACAAAACAGGAAATAGCAAATGTTGGTGAGGATGTGGAGAAATTTTAACTCCCATATATTGTACAATGATGTAATTACTTTGGAAAATAGTGTTGCAGTTCCCCAAAATGTTAAAACATAGAACTACTATATTACACAGCAATTATACTCCTAAGTATATATCAAAGAGAAAAAAAAACAAATGTCACATAAAGACTTGCACAAGAATGTTTACAGAAGCACTATGCATATTAACCAAAAAGTATAAATATTTACCTATTGATAAATGGATAAATAAAATATGGTGTGTACATACAGTACAATTTATTTGGCAATAAGAAGGAATGATACTAGTGTATGCTATAACATAAAATATTATGCTAAGTGAAAGAAGCTAGAGACAAAAAGCCACATTCCATTTATCGGAAATGATCAGAACAAGCAAATGCATATTGACAATGACTGCTGGGACTGAAGGTAAAAAAGAATGGACAATGAGCATTACTAGGTATGGGTGATGAAAATGTTCTAGAATTAAATAGTAGTGATGATTATACAACTTTATGAACATACTAAAAACCAGTGAAATGGTACTAAAACAAAGAAAATAGAAAAAATTAAACTAATGAATCTGATGGCTAAGCAGAACAGGTACAACACATCTAAATTTATCTATAAAGTACTAAGGATTCCAGCGTCCAGGGAAATTTAAGACATAATCTTAGTTCAATCTAATGGCCTTAAAAGTATTATACTTGTTGGCCCTCCCTGGTAGCGCAGTGGGTTAAAGCACAACACTGAGAATCTAGAGCCGCTTCTGCATGAGTTCGATTCCTGCCTGCCCCAGAGGTGACCACATGGCGTGGCAGACCTCTCCTGGCCCGCCCGCTGCTCCCCTCAGCAGTGTACTTCATCGATCTGCCTGTTCTGTTCCCCACTCTGTCTCTGGTGAAGCCTCTCACCACCCCTGAGCCTCTGGCCTGCACCCCATTTCTGTATGCACAAATAATAAATCTTTAAAAAAAAAAAGTATACTTGCATTTTTCCATAAAATCTTTACTAAATATATAAATATATAGCTTATTACAGTTATATAAAAGATGTCAAACTACAAAATATGTATCAAATTTAAAAATTTTTAAATTCTACTATTAAAATATAGTCAATATATATATTTTTAAACATTTTACATATAAACATCTAAAGTTAACAAATTTTTAGACTTTCTAATTCTCAGCTCTTACTAACATGGGATTCTTTCCAAGTTCAAGTAGAATACAACCTTTAAATTTTTTCAGAATAATCTTAGTGTCAAAATCCTTTTGCTCCTTTCCTTTCCTTCTCTCATTCCACAAATATGTATTTTGCATTTCTTAAGAAATCAGATCAATTCACTAACTTTTCAAAAGCAAGAAGGAATATGATTTTTTTTGTTTCCTTTTTTTTTTTTATTTTTTTTTAAAGTTTATTTTTACATCATTTTGCACATTTTTTTTTTTCATCTCAATCGTAATCCCCACGGGTTTCCCATCACCAAATCACCCCTGTGCCACCACCATAGTCCCGTGCATTTCCCTCCCTTCCCCCTCCCCCCCCCCCAGTTTTTGGTCCCATTCCCCACTCCACCCCCACAGAATGATTCTGGTCCATGGTTGTTCATTATTTTGTTATTTTCTCGCCTGGTCCATTATACTCCTGCTATGAGTGAAACCATCCGGTATTTTTCTTTCTCTTTCTGGCTTATCTCACTAAGCATGATCTTTTCCAGCTCCATCCAAGTTGCTGCAAAAGACATGTGTTTCTCTTTTTTGGTTGCTGAGTAATATTCCATTGTATCTATGTACCACATCTTTCTAATCCAGTCATCTACTTTTGGGCATCTGGGCTGCTTCCATGTTTTTCCAATTGTAAATAAAGCAGCAATAAACATGGGGGTACAAGTATCTTTTTCAATCAGTGTTTTTGTGTCTTTTGGGTAGATACCTCCTTTTTTATTTATTTTTTAACTCAAAAGTTCAGTAAGATAAAGTCTTGGGCACAAGATGGAGTCAGTTTGTCATCCTGTACATCCATTTCACAGTCCTAATCCCTCATTCTCACGTGTGTCCTCATCCAAAACAACAACACTGAGGTGTGAAATGTGTAGTCTTGACTTTGAAGTACCCTTATGAAACACACGGTAATATTTTCTATGACTGTATTTTTTTTTTTTTTTATCATTTTAAAGAATCAGATTTCATCTTCATTGATTTCTCTGCTTTTTCATTCTCGGTTTTATTGTTCTTCTCTTAATCGTATTACCCCATTTTCCTTCCTTTGGACATCTTCCTTTCTTAAGTTCTTTTTTTTTTTTTTAATTACAAAAGTTTATTTTTACATCATTTTGTACATTTTTTTTTTCCATCTCAATTGTAACCCCTGCGGGTTTCCCATCACCAAGTCACCCATGTGCCATCACCATAATCCCGTGCATTTCCCTCCCCCCACCCTGTTTTTGATCCCATTCCCCACTCCACCCCCACAAAATGTCTCTGGTATATGGTAGTTCATTATTTTTGTTATTAGGAATATGATTTTTTTGATTGTTTGAACTACCCATCCACTTGTAGGGCTAAGAGTGATACAGAAATAGCAAAAAAAAAATCCAAATAGTAACTTTGACCAAGTACTGTATGTCAGGCCACACAATAAAGCTAAGGGCAAGTACTATCTTTTGGTTTCTATTATGTTTAACTGATGCAAAGTAAAGTTTTCCTGAAATAACAACTAGAAAACATTCAAAAAACAACCCATATCTTTGTAACTCCCCTTTCCAGTCCTCTCTTTGAAACTAACAACTCATGCTTATCACTCACCAGGTTCTTTGGCTTTTGGTCTTTGTTTAGGGGCTGCAGAGGATTCCCTGGGTCAGCTCTTTGCCCAGTAACATCATCAGAGGCTCGTGTAGAAACTGGGTTTCCAGGTTGAATGCCGGACTTAGTGTTATACTGCAGATTTTCCTTCACTTGAGAAATATTGCATTTACCTTCTAGCTCAATAGAAGCATCTGAGTGGCTTGGTTGATTCTCTTGAACTAAGGCAACATTCACTGAGTCCCTTCTTTCTGCTGGTAAGAAGTCAATATTCACCCTACTGATTGTAGCCAGTGATTTTGCAGTACTGCTCATGTCTGCCTTGCAGGTGTGGCCTTTCAAACTTATAGGTGTCTTCAAGGGGTCAATGACTATGGGTTTCTCCTGGGACAAACATTTGTCTTCAGCCTGAATAAAAACATAGTGGGTGAAAACATGCATTCTTCATACCATATAAAGAAATGGTACAGCTTCCTCAGAAAGTTAAAGATTTACCATATGAAGCAGCAGTTTCATCCTTAGGGATATACTTCAAACAATTTAAGTAGGGGCTCAAATAGATATTTGTGCACCAATATTTACAGCAGCATTATTTATTTATTTTTTTTTAATTTTTTTTTTAGCAGCATTATTTATAATGGTCAAAAAGTAGAAACAACCCCAAAATTCATTAGCTGATGAATGAACAAACAAAATGTAGTATACACTTACAGTAAAATATTATAAAGCCATAGAGAAGGATTAATATTAAGTTCTGATATATGCTACAATATGGATCAATCTTGAAAAGATACTAAGTGAAGTAAGACATATATGAAAGTAAAAATCTATGATGAGAAATACCTAGAACAGGCAAAATCAAAGACAGAAAGTAGGTTAAGGGGGTCCTCCCTGGTGGCACAGCGAGTTAAAGCACAGCACTAAGAAAGTAGGTTAAGGTTTCCAGAACCTGAGAACAGGAGAAATGGGAGTTATTGCTCAATGGGTACAGAGTTTCTGTTTGAAATGATAAAGGATTTTAGAAAACAGAAGTGACAGTTGCACAACAATGTGAATGTAACTAAGGTCACTAAATTGGATGCTTAAAAATAGTTCAAATGTCAAATTTTATGTTATATCTTTCTACCAATAAGTTATTTTAGTGGATCAATAGCCTACATATAAGAGTTAAAACTATAAGACTCTTGGAAGAAAAAATAGTGATGACCTAGATTTGGCAAGGAATTCTTAACTCTGACACCAAAGGCATGAGCACGAAAGGGAAAAAGACATGAATTAGACTTAACCAAAACGTAAAGCTTTTGCACATAAAAGAACATTTATCAAGAAGGTAAAAAGACAACCTATAGAATGGGAGGAAATATTTGTAAATTATATGTCTGATAAGGCTCTAATATCCAACATAAAAACAATTCCTAGACTTCAATAACAAAGTACACAAGCAAATACAAAAGCCCAATTAAAAAGTAGACAAGGACTTAATAGAGACATTTCTCCAAAGGCACATAAGTGGCCAAGAAGCATGTGAAAAGATGCTCTATGTCATTTGTCATTAGGAAAATGCAAATCAATACCACAGTAGATGCCACTTCATATATACTGGTATGTATAGAGTAAAAAAGAAAAAGAAGAACTGGCTAGGTTGTAGAAAAATTGGAATTCTGGTGAACTGCTGGCAGGGGTGAAAATGGTATAACTACTTTGCAAAGTAGTGTGGTAGGTGCCCCAAAAGGTTAAAACATAGAATTAGGCCCTCCCTGGTGGCGCAGCGGGTTAAAGCACAGCACTAAGAAGCTTAAGCCACTTCAGCATGAGTTCGATCCCCGCCTGCCCCGGAGGTGACCACATGGCATGGCAGACCTCTCCTGACCCCCCTGCTGCTCCCCTCAGCAGTGTATTTCAGTACATCTGCCTGTTCTGCTCCCAGCTCTGTCTCTGGTGAATCCTTTCACCCTCTACATCACTGGCCTGTTCCCCAGTTCTGTATGAATAAATAAATAAATCTTTAAAAAAAAAAAAACATAGAATTAATGTACAACCTAGAAATTCTTCTCCTTATGTACACACTTAAAAGAACTTAAGACGGGTAGGCAAACCATATTTGTACAGAAATGTTTATAATAAAAGCCAAAAGGAGAAGACAACTCAATATCCGCCAATGAATAAACCAACTGTGATGTACAATGGAATATTATTCAGACATAAAAACAATGAAGGACTGATATATGCAACATTGATAAACCTCAAAAACATTATGCAAATGAAAGCAGTCAGCTACAAGAGGGTATATATTAAATGATTGCATTTACAAGTATCTAGAATAGGCAAATCAAAAGAGAGGGAGAAGGCCCTCCCTGATGGCGCAGCAGGTTAAAGCACTGCACTGAGAATCTAGAGCCGTTTCCGCATGAGTTCGATTCCCGCCTGCCTCGGAGGTGACCACATGGCGTGGCAGACCTCTCCTGACCCGCCCGCTGCTCCCCTCAGCAGTGTACTTCGTCAGTCAGCCTGTTCTGTTCCCCACTCTGTCTCTGGTGAAGCCTTTCACCGCCCCTGAGCCTCTGGCCTGTACCCCAGTTCTGTATGCACAAATAAATAAATCTTAAAAAAAATTAAAAAAAAAAAAAAAAGAGAGGGAGAAATCATCAGTAATTTCCAGTGATGAGATGGAGAATAGAACAAGGAGTTTCTACTTAATGAGTATGGGGTTTCCTTTAGGGATGCTGAAAATTTTGGAACTAGATAGAGGTGTTGATTGTACAACACAAACTTATTTTGTTCACTTTAAAATGATTAACTGTTATAAAAATTTCACCTCAATTAATAAAATGCTTCAAGTTATCACAGCACTGACTTCATGAATGGTTTCAACACCCACCTTGGATAAAGTGGGCTAAAAAAAAAACCACTTTCACTAGTATTCTGTCATTATAATACATGATTAATTACACAACAAAATATTTAATAAACTCTGATAATTTCACATAAAATAATTTGCTCTTACTACCTATCATTTGAAGACAGTTTTGAAAATATATGCCCTTGAAAAAGAAACATACCATTGTATAGATCTTGGAATCCTCAGAAGAGTGTAGGTGGGGGAGATCTACTTCATGATTTGATTCAGTCTTTCCAGAAACCACTGTAGTAACGGACTTGGATTCAGAGTCACTATTTTTAATATTATTTTTGGAGGTTTTTCTTTATGACAGAGAAAAGAAAAAGGTGTTATCAATTTTTGAAGATTAAAGATTTTTATATACACAAGGAAATGTGCTATTACACTCCCACATATGACTGATTGCTCTATTTATAGAGTCTTTTAAAAACTAGGGGTCGAGCCCTCCCTGGTGGCACAGCAGGTTAAAGTGCAGCACTAAGAAAATAACGCCACTTCAGCATGAGTTCGATCCCCAGCACCGGAGGTGACCACATGGCGTGGCAGATCTCTCCTGACCCTCAGCAGTGTACTTTGTCAGTCGGCCTATTTTGCTCCCCACTCTGTCTCTGGTGAATCCTCTCACTGCCCCTGCATTTCTGGCCTGTACCCCAGTTCTGTATGCATAAATAAATAATTCTTTAAAAAAAAAATTAGGGGCCCTCCCTGGTGGCGCAGCAGGTTAAAGCACAGCCCTGAGACTCTAAAGCCGCTTCCGCATGAGTTCGATTCCCGCCTGCCCCGGAGGTGACCACATGGCGCGGCAGACCTCTCCTGACCCGCCCGCTGCTCCCCTCAGCAGTGTACTTCGTCGATCTGCCTGTTCTGCTCCCCACTCTGTCTCTGGTCTCTCACCGCCCCTGAGTCTCTGGCCTGTACCCCAGTTCTGTATGCACAAATAAATAAATCTAAAAAAAAAAAAAAATTAGGGGACATTATAGAATAAACAATTAGTGCTATTTGAAACAATGTCATAAAAAACAAAGGAAGTGGGAAACTATTCCAGACCCAAACTAAGGAGACATGAAGACTAAATGCCATGGTGTCCTTGACTGGACCCTGGAACAGAAAAAGGACATCAATAGAAAAAATGGTGAAATCTAAATAAAGCATAGTGTTCAGTCAACAGTAATGTACTAAGGGTGGTTTCTTAGTCCTAACACACATACCATGGCAATGGAAGATATTGATAATACTTGAAACTAGACGAGAGAGGCATATAAACCAGGCACTGCTAATGATGTTTTGGTCAACAAAAGACCAATACACAACAGCAATCTCAACAGATCACACCATGCACCCTGGGTGTATAGTAGGCTCTACCACCTAGGATTTGATGGTTGCATAACAAAATTGCTAATAAACCATTATTCAGACCATATCCCCACATTTCTTTGGACTTATCTCTATAATAAGTGATATATGATTGTACAGACTATTTTTTTCTAACTCTCGGTAAATATAAAGAAGCAGAAATTGCCTTACAAACAGAAGCACCAGGATAATTTTCATCTTTAAGTTTCACACATTTATGGTAATAACGCCACAACTGCTTTGCCAAGTTTGAGAGTAAAAATGATAGGGATATTCAGCGTCAATTTAGAGAATGAATGGATACAGGATTAATAGCCCCAACTGTTTTAGTGTTATGTTTCTAAACCGGGGCTAAATAAACCTCTAGAGAATTCAAAGAAAGCACAGACTAGCACTATAGAGGATCATAGGTTTGTTTAGTGGTAAATTCTAGACAACATTAACACAAGAAAGTCTTTTATCCCCCAGGACCTCTCCAGCTTTGCCTCCCAAATTTATTTATTTGCTATTTAAATATGAATGTCTTAAGATGCTTTGAAAATGTATCTGTAACATATATACTGCAAAAACCCATAAAATTTCCTACTTAAAAGTTATGTTTTCCCACAAAAAAAGAAAACTTCAGACCAATCTCCCTAATGAACACCGATGCAAAAATCCTCAACAAAATCTTAGCTAACAGAATCCAACAATGCATTAA